CGCCCGCCACTTTCAACCCCTTTCCCCGCAGTCAGGGACTGGTCAGGTGTGCTCGCTCGCTCGCTCCATTCGCGCGTACGCTCAATCGCTCTCTGTCCACCGTCGAGCACGCATCCCCCGCGAGTCTCTTCCTCGCGTACGCGCTCGAGCGCGGTTCAATCCGTCCTTGTTCGTCGCGTCGGCGAATTTCGCGGCGTCCTCTGCCACCGCCGCCGCCGCCGCCTCCTCCTCCACCTCCTCCTCTTTCTCCTCTTTCTCCTCTTCCTCCTCTTCCTCCTCCTGCTCCTCCGGCTCCGACTCTGGTTCTGGCTCGGCCTCTGCCTCCTCCCGCTCTTCGCCGCGTCCTCTTCATCTCCTCGCTCCTCCGAATGCCGTGCGCCCTCAGCACGGAGCGCCGAATGCCATTTCACTTTCGTTGGGCTTCGCCGCGTAGGAGATCGGGCCCTGCCAGGAATTATCCTCTCGTTCTACGTGGTCGTAACCTCCTCGTACACGGTTTCGTCTGGCTTTTTCACGACGTCGCCTCTACTAACGCCGACACCACCTCGTTTTCTCGTCGTAACCGTTCTGTCTCCTCTTCTTTTCTTCCTCCGTCTCCTTTTCCGCCTCTTTCTTCTTTATTTCCTTTCGCCTTCTCTTTCCTTTCTTCATCTTTCTCTTTCTCCTTCTCCTTCTCCTTCTCCTTCTTTCTTCCTTATTCTCCTCCTCTTCCACTTCCTCCTCCTCCTCCTCCTCCTTTTCCTTCTCCTCCTCCTCCTCCTCCACCTCCTCAACCTGCTCCTTCTCTTCTTCCTACTTTTACATCTTCTTCTTTTTTTCCCTGCTTCTTCTCGTCCTCTTCTTCCTCCGTCCGCGTCTCGATATCCTGTTCGTTCGTTCGTTTTTCGCTTTTCCTTCCGTTCCTCCTTCCTTCCTCTTTCCGAACGTTCGACTTCCGTTCTTCGACCGACTTTCTCGCTTCTTCTTTCGTCCCTTTCCGATCCTGTTTCCCTTTTACTCGGTCTCGTTCGCGCGTACCTCGACTCGTTCAACGAGGGACCGTTCGACTACAGACTATCGCAGTCAGGTGAGTGATAAACGATACAACTTCCTTCGCGCTAGGACGGAGGAGAGCCTTGGAAGGCGCGCCGCGTCGCGTCGCGTTATTACCGCTTGCCATAGAGTGGGCATTGCTCCGATGGACTTCTTGCAACAAAGAGGGATAGTGTGACTGGGCGACCCACGGTGATTCAGAGAAAGAGGAAGGGGCGCCAAGGGGGAAACCGGAGAGAGAGAGAGAGAGATAGAGAGAGGGAGGGAGAAACAGCCAGACGGATGGACGGAGAGAAACAGAAAAAGAGAATAAGAGGAAAGGAGAAAAAGGGAAAAAGAGAAAAGGAAGCAAAAGTTTTACAGTGGATACGCGACAATGTACTACGGACTACTGGCCGCCGAATCTTGAATAACCGTATCTCGCACGTGAAACCTCGTGCTTTTAAAGACGTTTCCGGCAAACTTGCTTGCTCGTGTCTTCCGGACGAGAACGAGTCGTCGGTTCGCCGATCATTCGCGTGTGGTTCCGAGTTATCGCGTGAAATTCGAACGCCGCGAAGTCGTGATTTCGTGCAAGTGCCTTTAAACGGAACGTCCACGCAACGACCGATGTGACCGGCGTGTGATCGATGCGACACCGGTGCGACGCCGAGCCGAATACGTTCGCCAAGTGTTTACGAAGTCTGCGACGTTCCGATGATCCGCGTCGGAATAAGTACATGCACGGATTACGGTACGCGTTACGACGATCGAGTGTGTGTCGCGTGCAAACTCGTGTAATCATCGAGCGTAACGTGCTCTCGATGCTAGAGTATTTGCCAGCGTATTTCCCAGCAAGTTCGTTAAACGCAGGTACCGTCGCGCGACTCGTCCAATTAATATTTCGAACAGCGATTCGAGTTACCGCGACGAATCGAGTGCAATAATCGTGACTCGACCGAGTGCACGCGTCGTACGCGCGTACGTTGCTTTTCCGCCGGTGAAAAACGATCGAAAGTTAGTTCTGCCGCGTCCGCGTCCGCGAATTCGCCTTCTTTGCTTTCGCAGTCGCGTTCGTAAACAACGTTACCGTGTCACGGTCCAGTCGCTTATTTCGCGTAATTTCGCGTAATTTCGCGTAATTTCGCGTAGCGTGTCGAGAAAGGAAAGGGGAAACCTCGGAACCGAATGTGGAATATCGCCGAGCGAGAATCGATATTCCGATCGCGAACGAGATCGTTAAACGCGGGTAAATCGGAGGAAAGGAAGGGCGACGATAGAAAAATCAGGACTAGAATGTCTGTGTATGGACGGAGACGCGGCGCGATCTTGCCAGTTGCTCGAAGAACACGTGGTAGCCAGTCGCGCTCCCATTGAGAAAGGAGGTTATGTAGCGTGGAGAATAAGAGAGGAAGGTTATGCTCGTGACGCCCGTTACATTATCAATTCCGTTATGACGCTGTATTCGTAATAGCGGAGACGACCCTACGACCATCTTTAGGGATTCCCCCGTGGCCGTGCGTACTCCTCGCCGCCTTCCGCGTCTTTCCCCTTTCTTATTCTCTCTCGGTTCTTCTTTCGACCCTGAATCTCTTCCCTACAGGTATACGCGCGTAACGTTCCTTATACCCGTCTGTCGGTACGGTCTTGCACGAACCGACCCACCAACCACCCCTTCGCTTCCTTCCTGTTCTTCGAGAGCGTTTCCACAGTCAATCTTTTTGCGGATTTACACCTGTTGGACTTCTCCTTCTATCGCCGCCTTATTTCTTCCCACGAAAGAACTTTGTCCCGCGTCGGGTCGCTCCGCTTTCTTTCCTCCCTTTTCCTCGCGAAAAAAATCAACTTCCTCGTTACTCTCTTTCTAAGCTAATCTACCACGTTCACTTCCTCGTTTTTTCCTCGTTTTTTCCTACGCTTCGTAGCTACAACACGCGTTCGAGAAACCGTGGACGAAACGGTCGGCGAGCGTCGCGCCCACCGCGTTCTCCGACCGTTCGCCGCCGCTATCGGGCATAAAATTTTTCGTCGAAAATCTGCTCGCCGTGGTCGACGAACGACGCGAAACGGAGGTAGTCAAGGTAGAGATTTTTTTTTTATCCGTCGTCTCGCGTCAATTAGTTTGCGATAATTGGTCGGGCGATGCCCTTGAACCCTAAGTATTGATTGGTGAGGTTGGATTCTGCTGGTGGCTTTCCCTCTTGCCTCCGAACCGATGGCACCACCCCTATGCATCCACCGCCGAACCAGCCAACTACCCACCCGGTCCCTCACCCCTGCACCAGTACCCGCACCGCGCTGCTCTACCCGTCGTGTCTAGCATCCGTGGCTTTCCGAGTGCCGCCACCGCCGTCGTTTGTCGTCAAACCCTACCTTTCGTTACTCCTTTCGTCTTTCGCCGAATTACGAATTTCCTTCTTTTCGATTCGCTCGTTTGTCCTTTTAGATCGGATCGGATCGGATCGGATCGAGCGTGTCCAACGCGCGAGTTCGATCACCTTGGAACCGATACCGCGACGCTCGCGAGTCCATGGCTCGCGAACCTTTCCACGAGGTTGTACGTATTCGCTCGCGCCTAGGGGATGAAAGGAAGCGCGAAAGGGGCCGGGGGTAGTAGAGAGAGGAGAGGAGACGCAAGAGACAGGATATACGCGGATAGAAACGGTTGGAAGTCATACCGGTGTCGGTACCGCCGCGAGTGCCGAGCAAAGAGAATCGGAGGTTGGGGTGGTCGATACGGCCCTGGGGCCGCGACAGCCA